CCACCTTCACCCAGGGAGCCACCACCTGCACCACCACCCTTTGGGCAGCCAAAAAAGAGATGGGGGGAGATAGAGAGGTGGGTGAGTTGAAGCGCATGTGTGGCCAAAAATGCAGAACGCTTGCCAAGTGCCCAAATTTTGATCATATAACCACAGGTGCACTGCAATGGCCATAACGTCAAGGACTGGTCATAACTACCATTTGTTCAGCGCCATTTTAACTTTGAACAGTTGCTGAACCAATGGTTGTTAAGCGACAACTTCCTGTAATTGATGAAAATTATACCAGATTTCTGTTCTGAAGTTAGCATAGATGCATACTTTATAGAATTACAAATGGTTTTATGTGTGCATGCACACATACACTCATGATACACACACAGACACCCCTACATCATCAATGAACGAATTAGCAGTTGGAAAGATTAGGTTTGCATTCATATTTTGACAAATGTGTGCCATTTAAGAATTAATATACATAAATTGTGTCACTTAGATTCAGGCAAAGTTTAAAATGTGTGAAATAATCCACAGATATTGGTAGGTAGAATAAGAGGGCTATGCAGCACCTTGAACACAAATGTCAGTAGTGTTTTAGAGTTTGTGGGGTTGTGAATGCTGCAATTGTTTAAGGCAGCCAAGGGTGCCCTCCACAATTGCTACACTATCCTGGGAAAATCTGGGTTTGGTTTAAGGAATGGCAGACCAATACTGCATTTGCATCCCTGGGCATTCAGAAGCATCTTGGGTTCTTCCAATCCAAAGTGCTGCATAGCCCTTCTGAGTTTTTTGGAAATATTTATCCATATTTCATTCACAAATTGGTGACAATTTTATTTTAAACATATATTCTATTAGGAAAACTAAAACAAAAGATGGTGTAATTTCAAAAGCTTCTGTTATTACTTTATTGCAGCAAAAACAAGGAAGAATCTGTTGCAGCTGCGGCTGAACTAATATTAAGTCCTTTTTGTTTTCTAGTATCGAACTATTCAGACACCAAAACTCTTGCTGATCAGACTTCAGAAGAAAATGTAATGGGATTACTTCAGAAAGTTGGTGATGTTCCATCTCTTCCAAGTGAAAGTAGTTGTTGTTCAAACAAAAAACAAGGAATCTCTAGACATGCTGTACAGAAAATAATAATGTGCGTAGATCTTATCAGTCAAAAATTCAGATTAGTTTAAATTTTACTTTGGGATGCTCTTAAAAGAATTTATCATTAGCATCATGATGAATGGAGGGGAGGTCCCTGTGCACTGTGTATCAGGTAGAATTTCTCTTCTAGTCAGTGGATACATTGGACATTTTGAGAGCACAATGTGGATGCTCTCAGAAAATGGCTGCCATATGGGACATCATAAAAAAAAAATTGTCTCTTTTTGCCTGGGTAGACAGTTACATTTCAGACAGGACATCAAGTTGCAATTACTCCCTGATATAATTTTTTTAAGAATACCTGGGAGGTATTCCAGAAATTTTGTTGGAAATAAAAATGATGCTAGTGGCTAGGATTTTATTTCACAGCATGACAACTTCTTGGTTATTTTTCATCATAAGAACATTTTAAAGGTAAATAAGATGGGAAACTTGACAGACACCAGAAGAGAGATACATGTGCCCCTTGATATGGTGGACTTCATTTTGCCTATCTGCACAATATAGTATAGAGAGCCAGTTTGGTGTAATGGTGAAGGCACCAGGATAGAAACCAGAAGATTTTGAGTTCTAGTTCCACCTTAGGCACAAAGCCAGCTAGGTTACCTTGGGCCAGTCACTCTCTCTCAGCTCTACAAAGCAAGCCACTTCTGAAAATCTTGCCAAGAAAACTTCAGGGACTTGTCCAGGAAGTTCCCAGGAGTCAAGACTGACTCGAAGGCACCAAAAATAAAAAACTATATAGTATGCATCTTTGCAGAATTATATAGGGACATGCGCATGAAAAATCAGAGACTGGCTGATTCACATATAATGCTGAGCCAGGAGTTTAGGCCATAGCTTCAATAAGCCAGCCTAGTCTAATTTGTACCTAATGGTTCAAGCAAAACACTATGCCGTAAACAAATAAGCATATTGTGACCATGGTGTGTTAACCAGACCACTGTAGCTGTGTTTGTATATCACAGTAAGATCAGTTTCAATTCAGCATGACAGGAATAAGCCTAGCCTTTTGGGGGGCTTGCACTATCCCCATCCTCTTTCTTCTTCTAACCAACTAAAGCTGCCTATCTGCTTAGTTTCAATAAGCCAGCTTCAGGATTCACAATGTGTAAATGGCTAGTTTGAGAAAGACTATCAGTAATGATAATTACTGTTTCATGAAAGCATGGTGAGGCAAGTGCAAAAGCTTCCATATCCTTCCATAGGAAAAGGAAAATAGATGGAGAACATGTAGAGTCTCAGGAGGAAACTGGATGGGTTTCTGTTTGTGTATGTTGTACTAAATAATAATGCATAGACATGCTTAGTGTGCAGGGAACCCCAACTACTTCATATGCTCAGATTATCCAATGCAAACAAAAACAGACATTGCTTTAATTTGTCAATTAAATTTTTTCAATCAAATTTTAATTTGTTTATTTAGGGAAAATCTGTAGAATGCAAAAATAGTGAAGAGGACTTTTCTTCCTTGCACAAAATGGAAAGGCAGTTTGGTAAAAGCTTGCAATGAGCAGGGTGCTTGGATTTCCTTCTGGTCCTAATACTACAATATAATGTTTGGATTTCTAAATAATGCTTATTTTAACATTAATGGTTGAATTGTAAAAATCTTGTTTAATTTTTTTCACCAGGAATTCATGGAAACCAGCTGACATGTTTAGTACTCTGGGAGAACGAGAGTGGGATAAAACCTTGTTAGATGCTAAGAAATCTCAGTGGAAGAAAGAACTAGGTACTGTGTAATTTGCTGTATTTCTGTATTATGCAATTGATCATTAATTAGCATCTATTAATGCATTATTTTGTTTCTGAAGTAATAGGTTGGTAGTTCTGGTTTTGATCCCATTAGTATACTCTTTTTAGAGTAGTACAAATGTCATTGATCAGTGTTTAAACGTTTTTATATTTAAATATTTTTCATTACTTTTTACTCTTAATTAATACAGAAATCAAAAATAACTTATCTAAAATATGTGCATCATTTACAAGTCTTTTTTTCATATAGTGCTTTTTAATAAAAGATGTGGACTAGTATCTAGCCTTATTTATATCTGTGCTGCATGCGACATCCCTTGCTAATGGTGAAGACAGTACCAGTCAGTTCTGGCACATTTTGCCCAGTATGCTGCAAGTGCGACCACACCCCAAGCATGCTCACCCTATTCTGTGCCAGCGAGACAAATAAAATGGCACTAGCGCATGTGTTTTTAGATTAGAAGGAAGAGTGCCAGCTAAGTTTATTAGTTCATAATTGTTCGCAGATTTTATTGCCAGAGAATCCTTAGACTTTAGAAAGGGTTTATGTAGTAAGTCGTACCGGTGTTGAGGATTGTTGGTTGCCAGGGCTTAAGGCTTGTGCGGCTTTAAGCTGTGTGCTGAAGGACTGTTGGAATGAAAGAGCAAAGCCAAACTGGAAGATAAGGAAGTGCTGGCTGTGAGCCCTATTTTGCTGAACCTACAGTATTATAGAGGACTAGAGGGACAGTGAGGAGTGTCTGTGGTGCTGAAACACTGTAGGAGCTGAATTGACCAGTGGTTGCCTTGTTGGTGCCTGTATCAGTGGATGCTACCTTTTGTACCCCAGCTGGGAAGGCAGCAAGAGGTGAAAGGAAAATGGCAGCAGACGGATAAACCAGGTACCAGTGTTTTTTTCACTGAGAAGCCAAAGCGAGAGATGGAAAACAGTTAAAGCTTTTTGGTAAGATGGCCAGTGAAACAGAGCAGAAAGGCACTTGTTAAAACATGGTTATTTCGTAAGACCTTCTCTAAGTAGTGTTGTCTGAATGAGATGCAACACCATGAATGCTACTGTTGGTTGAGATTATTGTTTCTATTATTATTATTATTATTATAGTATATTGTTGGCTAT